GTAGGCATAATAACATTCTATCTAGAAAGCCAAGGCCATCCTTTGTCTCTCCAGAACTCGATTGGTGGAAATTGCCAGCATGGCAGTGGACGATTGGACCATGTGATGGACTTGTGTGTGTGAGGCAGGATCTTGAACTTTCAACTGGGTGGGAAAACCTGGAAGCTTTAAGATTCAGGTTTCCCCAGATGTGCCAACATCTTAATAAATTGGCTCTTAATAAATTGGAACTTTGAGGAATCCTTTGCTTCGGACTCTGATTCACTTTTGGATGCTATATGGAACCCTGACATTATGTTCAAGTAACTGTGTCTCAAAGTATTATTTAAATAAAACCAGATTCGCAACTTCGTCCAAGCGAGGAGGCATCCTTCATTTTTGCAGGGCATTTGCAAGTGACCATATTCTCAAAATTAATGACTAGGGCCAGGACCTATGGCATACATGCCTGAAGTGGCATGCAGAGCCATGTTGCTCAGCATGTGCGGCTACGCCCATTGCTCTTCCAGGTTTCTGGCATGCATGATGAGCTAGGCTTCACACATGTGGCAATGTTAGAAACTGGAAGAGCAGCCAACTGATCTTTCCACAAGCATGCACACGAAAACCTGGAAGAGGAACTGCCTGGTGCACATGCGCAGCAGGTTAGCTCCTCTTCTGGATTGCGTCCCTGATGAACAAGTGCGCTCGCTCGCTTCCTTTTCGGCACTCAGTTCCAAAAAGGTTCTCCATCACTGGACTAGGGCCAAGGTAAAATATAAATGTCACTTTGTTTAGTTACATTTACCATTTAAGTGTAACTGAAATTAAATATAGTTCTTCGAATCATTGATGCCAGGTTATTTTAGGAACCGCCTCTTCCTACTTACATCGACCTATTACATCAAGTCGAGGAGGGTCATGATGCAAGTCCTGTCCAGTACGCAGCTCCATCCAGCAGAAGCCAGATGTTGTACCTTTTCTGCTGTGATTTCCACTCTGAAACATCATTTCCCCTTAGATAAAGTTAGCCCCATCAACGTTAGCCTTAAAACATGGTTCTTTCATCAACCTTCAGGATCCCAAGTGGAATTTGCAAGGTGGGTATATGATATTGAATGTTCTTCACCCACTATCTTGTTTCTTTTATATTTATGTTTGAGCATTTATGGTTTTTAATGGTTATTACATTTGTATGCCACCCTGATGGGCAGCTATGTAAATTTGCTAAATAAATAAATACAATATAGACATTCAAACTCTCAACCACTTTTCTCCAGTTATGTGTACAAGATATACAGTTACCATATTAATCCTAGATCATGTTCTTGGCCTTTTGGAGGCATATCTGGAACCTTAAAAATTATTTTGCAGAACTACTCCAAATTAATTCTAAGGAGATCATGGGTAAAACGGGGGCTGCAAATTCTCAAAATGATTGTTATAGTAGATCAAAAACAATCCAAAACACTGTATTATCCTGAAGTTGTTTCCTATTCATTTCATTTTGCTTCTTCTTCTTCTCCATAACTAGCAGATCCAATTTCATCCAAAAGCATTGAATTGGCCCTATCTTCTGAATAAATTGTGTAGGTCAACAACTGTTGTTCAACTGAGAATCCAGGCCAGGATGATGCCTGAGAGCGGAAGGAAAATCATGTAAACTGAAAAATCAGGGAATTTATTTTCCACCTCAAGGAGAACTTCCACCTCAAGTTCTGAGTTGTTTA